GCGATCTCTTGGATGCATCGTCTCCCAATCATACACCTCCATCAATCGTTCCTCGATCACTTCTTCGAAAAATTCGTTGAAGGTCGGTGATCGACGCTGAATGTAGTCATCATGGTCTTGATCTCGTTGTCGTTCTTGTTCTCGTTCTTGGTACCAATTATATCGATAATACTGTTGTTGCTGAACATATTGATTTGGCATTTGTCGGCGTCGAATCTGGTCTACCAGTTGTTGTTGATGTTGACGTTCTGCTCTCTGTTCTCGTCGTCGTTGTGCTCGCCTTCGCCGCCGTCTTCGTCGCGCTTCTTGCTGTCGCAGCAAAATTGCGTCACGCGACTGGTTAGATGTCAATAGCGTTCGGTTTGGAATCACATTCGTCATGCTCAAATGCATCGAGATCTGACTTGTTGTAACAATGCCAACAGAGATAAGTTGATCTACGGAGCAGTCGTCGTCGGTGTTAACTATCGATGTTTCTGAAGTGGTATTAGCGATTTGAGTATTGTTGGTATTCATTCTGGAACAAATCGCTGACGAGAAGAATCTTTTTTCGGTCGTTTTGTGAGGATGGGTGAGTTTCACAAGATTATTCTAGGCTACTTAAGAAGATCGTTTCGGGTAGGGCTTAATCGGTCCATCATCAGGTAAGTTCGAAATTTGGTGAGAATGCGGTTTTCTCCTTTTCCTACTAAGTTGGTGACATATCTGAAACGGAGATTCAAGGTCTTTCACTCAATCTTTCAAATGAAAGGTCGAGCTGTTCTCGTTCTGGTAGATGTTTATTAAAATAAACAAAATATGACTATTTTTTCTTGGAATCGAAGGTGGGGTCGTATGATCAAGCTGAATGGGAGTCAATTGAGCAGCGTCGATTCTTATGTACAGGTCTGTTCGTTTTGATATTTCTATTGTTGTTTCGTTTCGAATGACTTATCCATATGACCCATCTATCGCATTTTGTCCATGTGATATAGTGTGGAATCAAGTGATTGTGGTGTCAAATGATTGTCTGGGTCATTCGGTTGCATTCGAACCCAACCGTTAGATGTTTGTCCTCGTGGGTTGGCTTCGTCTTCTCCCAATGCTTGTGATGTTTGGATCGGATGGGATTGTTTCATCTCGTCTTGCACGACGGATAGCTGTTCCAAAGCAGCAATACCCTCTAACCCGTTCAACTGTTCTTGTTCCAATTGGTCCATTAGTTGTATAATTTCCCAATCATATACCTCTTGCAATCGTTCCTCGATCACTTCTTCAAATTGTTCGTCGACGGTCGAAGATTGAGGCCGTGTGACGTTAGAACTGTCTCGTCCTTCATACCGGTCATTTCGGTGATATCGTTGTTGCTGACGGTATTGATGAGACATGTGTCGTCGTCGAATCTGTTGTGCTAGCTGTTGATGTTGACCCTGTGTTCGCCTTCGCCGCCGACGTCGGGCCACGCGATGGCGCGTCACAATTTCGACTCTCGATTGCTCGGAGAGCAATAGCGGTTGACTTGATGGAATAACGTCAGGCGATATCAATTGGCTAATGGAAGCGTCGTTGTGAGTGTCGCTACCCAATGGCTGTGAAACAGAGTTAGCGATCCCGTCATTGTTGATATCCATTCTGAAACAAATAGCTGATCAGTAGAACTTTCTTTCCACCATTTCTGTAGCCACTTCCGACATGAATAGTTTCCTGAGATTCTCACAAACTACCTACGATGATTGTTTTGACTTTGATTGGAAAAGTGTATGTTTGTATGATGAAATTTGGATGTATCTGTTCCACTTGATATTAGTCAAGTACTTGCTCAGTGCGACGTCGAGCGATTTCAATAATCTAGAAG